CATATCATGGCGTTCTACACTAGACTTCTTCTACGAATGAGGTTCTCAATCGATACATTGCAAGGAATCTATTCACTATTCATGCAATCAATTGCCTACTATCAATCTATGACGATCTCTTGCTCTAATTAGGAATTCCCTCTCATAGAATCAAAACATAATCAACAATCTCGACTAAAGTCGAATTGAAAATCCAGACATGCATAGATTGAATATGAACCCAAGATAATTAAGAGAGAGTACTCATACAATCATCCAATTAAACAAACATAGTTAGGGTTTCTCAAAACCTAAGTGAAGGGAAGTTACTCCAGAGAAAAGAGAGAGAATACATAAATCTAATATAGATCTTCAATCTCCATTTTCAAGCTTGATTCCCGAGCACCAATGGTGAAGAAATCTTCCAAAAAACTCGTGGAATGTGTCCAAGTCGCTCTCTCTCTAGGGTTCGGCCCTTTGGTGTTTGGGTCCAAGACCCAGTCCCTCCCCCCTTCTAAACCCCATAAAAATGCATTTATACATGTAGCAGAGGCCAAGTTATGGCAGTAAGCTTTGGAGTTCAAGCCGTAACCTATGGAATTGATTCTTCCTCCTAGACCCGAGTTACGACAAAAAATGGCAAAGTTATGGGTTGGTCGTAACTTTGAAGACCATGATACAATCACGGAACTGGTATCCATAGTTATCAAATTAACATAGCCAAGAATAGGAATAAAAGATAGGGATAAAACGGAATTGAAATACAATCTCACACCTGGGAGAAGGCTTTATCAATATAAGGGTAGAAGGTTGACCACAATCAAGATGGATGCATGATTGATAAAGAGACACACTCAAAGCGATTGGAGTCCACCAACGACGAGAGAAACTTCGATGAACCATGTTTAACTCAATAGTCAATAATCAACATCTGACATAAACTCATGTTTAAAAACCTTTAAAGTTTTGGAAAATAAAATTATTCAAAAATCCAAAAAGAAAAGAATCCTAACACAAAACGGTAATTTTAACTCGTCAGTTCGATCCGCAGTCTCGGAACCCCGGTCGGATATTAAACCCAACTGGATGGGGGTCATTCTGTTTGTGATCCCCGATCTCCCCTCTTAATTCCTCGGTTAGGGAATCTAACAATTCCGGTCGGGGAGGATCACAACATTCCCTCCCCATTGAAGAATTTTTTCCCTCAAAGCTTGAGTAAAACACCACGCATCATTCTCACATTTGAACTCAAGAAATTCAGAAAGCTCTCGATCCAAACATGCTCACCAGCCTGGCTTCAAAACAAAATTCCATGCATGATCATTAAGACAAAACAAACAGCCTCCATAATTCCACGGAATCAAGAGCTCAAACAGCTCGACAAAAAAAAATGCTCCAATCCATGAACTTCGATGATCAAGTCGTCATAGTCCGTCCCTTGAATCCTCCATCCTAGTTCACTGTTTTTCGTCTCTTCTTCTTGTACTTTGACTGAAAGTAACAAAAATCATCTACAGAAAGATGAAAGTTACATCCTTGTTCCTCTCCAGAAGAGCCTCGAACACATTCTGCACAATCTTCAGTTGTCGTTCCTTGTTTTTCAGCGACAGTCCTCAAAGCTTGCGGGCCTCAACATGAGAAATCATCATCACAAATGTCGTAAAAAGGATCGAGATAAGCCATCTGCTCCTTTCCCACCGTAACCATCTCTTAGAAATCTCCATCTTCCTTCTGTGGTTCTCGAAACTTGGTCGATGATTTAATCTCTTTGCGTTTCTTTTGCTCTGGAGTGCGTGGTATTGGAGAGACCACTTCATTGCCCAGATGGAACTCGCCAGATCGGGAGCATCCTTTGAATTTTCCTCTAGCTCAATGTCGATTTCCTAAGAACTCGAACTCTGTTTCACTAGAGAGTTTGACATCTGTTCAGCCATGGTTTAGAGCATAGCTCCCATCTGAGTCATCTGTGCTGCAAGCTGTTTCATGTCGTCTGTAAGGATCGGCTCCATGGTTTGTATCTTCGCTGGGGTTTTTTCCTCTAACGACGAATCATCTTCTGCCCTACGGTTTGCGATGGGGTCTTTGGATGACGTACGAGAAGAACCAAGTCCTCTTGCCTTCGATCTTGCCACTATGTTGATCCGGGTTTTCATACCACTTCATACGAGCACGAAACCAGTACCCATAGTTATCAAAGTAACGCAACCAAGAACATGAATAAAATATAGGGATAAAGAAGAATTGAAGTGTAATCTCACACCTGAGGGGAATGCTCTGTCAATATAAGGGTAGAAGCTCGCCAAGATGGATGCTTGATTGATATAAAGCATAGTTAGTAAAATACGGTACGGGAAAGTTACGTACATAATAAGGACGAGTATTTTACTTCATCTCTAAGCTAATGTTACATTTAATAGTACATTAATAGTCATACATATATACATTTAATTATTATAAAAATAAGCAAATATATAAATAATAGTAACGTTAACAATTTAATTCATTAAATATGGATATTAAACGTGTTATACGGGTTTTATACGTGTTTAGTACGGGATTCATCAAATAAACGGGAAAAAATAAAACGACTTTACAATAATACGGATACAGAAGTTTTAAACGGATAAAATACTTACGGGAACATATACATGTATTAAACAGAATATTTACTAACTATGATATGAAGACACACTCAACGCGATTGGAGTCTACCAACGAAGAGAACAAATTCGATGAACCATATTCAACTCAATAATCAACATCTGACAAAAACTCGTGTTTAAAACCCTTCAAATAGGTCTGAAAAAATAAAACTAATAAAAAACCTCAAAAGAAAAAGAATCCCAACAAAAAAGTAATTTTAACTCGTACGCCCCTATCTTAAATACCTGATCAGGGATTAAACCCAACTACTAGGGGTCTTTCTGTTTGTGATCCCCGGTCTCCCCTCTATTTCCCTGGTAGGGGAATTTAGCAATTTCGGCCAGGGGAGGATCATATAACCAGCCCATAACTTGGCGGCATCCGACTGTTTTTCAGCATCAAAGTTACACCTTGGGGTATCAAGTTACCCCTCAGGCCGTAACTTGGGGGCTCCTGTGGGTTTTCAGCATATTTTGACTTCCAAATGCTCTAGAACTTGCTCCTAAACTCACCCCACGTACTAGAACATGAAATGTGACAAAAAGAACACAACCTAGTGTAAAATAGACCAAGGAATGATCAAAACCAACCCAAGCAACCAAGAAATGAGGGAATAAACGTTATTATTAGTCTATTTGGTGATAGGTCTTTCTTTACATCAAGTAGTGTGGGATTGTTTGTATCCCATTTGGTCTAGTTGCAACTAAGGTGGTAGGAGATATATCATCCTCTTTCATGTGATTATCAATGAATTGTGTTTGCATAGTGTTTCCATGCTCCATCAATGATTTATATGCTTTGGATTTGTCTCTCCTATGTGTTATCTATAATTGCCTAGTTAGGGTTTCTAGGATATGTGTGGATTGAGCGGTTTTGGCATGATTAGTTTGGATGGTTAATCTAGGAGTCTGGTGTGGTGGAAGAGGCAACCGTACCCCTACCTATACTAGGGGCGGGCATTCGTTCGGTTCGGTTTCAACCGAACCGAAATTATGAATATCGGGTCCCCGAATTCTCTCAAACCTCAAACTGAATTCGAACCGAATTATAATTCGGTTCGGTTCGGTTTTTCACACAAAACCGAATTTGTGAAGCTACTTGTATTTTCTCACTTTTAAATTATTTTTCATCCCTAATATAAACAATAAATATCAATTATATGCATCATCAATGATAAAACCAAACTTTTCAACACATAAGTCTTAAAACATTTCAAATATTTAAGTCTAAAAACAACTACAAACATACAAATCCATCATTTGGAGCTTGCAATTATAGTATTTCGGTTTTTCGATCGAAAATTCGGAAATTCGGTTCGGTTGAAAGACCCCTGATTTCCGAACTATCCATATTTTCCTTCCGAATTCCGAACCGAATAGCATTAATTCGGTTTCGGTTTGGTTTAATTCGGTTTCGGTTCGGGTTTACCGAACCGTTTGCCCACCCCTAACCTATACAGGGGCAATTTTAATATAAAAAATAGTAAAAGAACATGTTTGATAAGACTCAATAGTAAAGGGCATGTTATACCATATAACCAAATATATAACTTATGACGTGGCTTCTTAATAATTGATAAGTTTGTTAGATTTTTTATCTCATAATATATAATGGTTAAAGACTTTGAGTACGTGGCCAAATATGTCATTTTTTATATATAATCCTTAGTTACTAATTATTACTAAATAATTAGTGATGAAAAATTGACTATTACTCATTTTTTTAATGAACCACATGTATCATATATGACATACATATACTATGATATTCAAGCTGTAAATAATTTTAGAGTTGATTTAAGGTTCAATCTTTTAGACTTATAAATGAGATGAGCTCGTGAGCTGATTGATAAGTCAAGCTCTAGTAGAGCTCATAAGCTCTTTAATGAGCCAAACCTGAGCTCGACTCGTTTCATAACGAGCCCATCTCAAATTTAGCAGTACTCGACTAGACTAAGCTCAAGTGTAACACTACTAACGATGGATTAAAAAAAAATTAATCGGTAGCTATTGTATTAGACAAGTTTAACTATTATTTTATATAAAATAAAATATTTAGTTCTGAAATTGTATTAATTCGTTTACAAAACTCACATCTGTCCCTGTTTTTTTCAATTCCCCCGTCTTGTTATATGCGGACTTTGAATCTAGATTTTTTATGAATTAAATCTAGCTTTCGTAACCAGGACGAAATTCCTTTATTTAAAAAGTTATCAAAAGAAGCATATCTAACGGCTGTGAATTGTCTTTTTTGCTGGCATTCTAACTAACAAATTATGACTGTTGTGAAAAGCTGGAAGTCAAATACGAGCTGTTAATAATTTGCATTCAAATACCGGCAGAGTTCATTCGAATCAACTAGCCGTTACAATTCAACTCCCTCACTCTCCCTCTTCCTCTCCCCTGCCTTCCACCTTTCTTTAACGAATCCAATCCGCCAAGATTTACACATTCGACGTTCCTTTTCTTTCTCTGTTTCTTTGGAGCACTGAACTTTAGATCACACACAACCATCAATTCAATTCAGACACTAACAATCCATGCGATGGCTGAACCTTCTCCAAGCAAGAACCTCTCTACTTCTTCCTGTGGAGCGTCCGTAAGCCGGCCAGCCAATCCACACTTGAGAAATTCCGAATCAGCTGATCCTAAGAGGAGAAGCTTCGTGGGTAGCCCGTTTCCTCGACCTTCCATCAACACCGGTCGGAGAGGCAGTGCCGTCGGCTGCGGCGGAGGCTTTCACCCAAACACCCCCGCTAATTCTCCTTCAGGTTTGATCCTCACTCCCCTCATACTCCTTGCTTTCGTGAAGGTTGGTGGTTGAAAACTTTTGTCTCAGTTTCAGCGCTTAGAAACTCGGTGAAATTGAGGGTTTTCTCTGGGTCGGAAAGGAGGGGATTCAGTTTTTCAAAGTTCACTTCTTAGCTTTTCGACCTAATGCCCCACAGAACTACTTGTCTCAGATTTTTAAACTGTAGAAAACATCTTATACCGTTCCAGAGCATATTACTGTCACCGAAATTCTTGTGTCAATTCCATTTTCTAGCTTTGACATTGGGGAGTTTTTGGGGTTTGATACTGACTAGCAAAGGGTATCCTTTGGTTCACAGACTATTGTCAGAGAAAGAGTTCCATAGGGAAAGAGAACGTGAGCATGACTTCTCTCCACAATCAAAAGAAGGAGAAGGACGAACACCAGATCAGAAAATCTGGGAAAGTTCAGTCACCGGCTGCCACAACAAAAGGCAGTAAGAAGCATTTCATGTCTCCAACAATATCAGCAGCTTCAAAAGCTTTTGCAGTATCCTCCAGGAAAAGGGTATTGGTTGAGCCCATTCGGACTTCCATTTCATTTTCGGGTGGAAAGCTACCTTGTGTGGAAGGCTCTGTTACAAACCCCAAAAAGGGGCTGAATTATAAGAAGGAAGTTTCATTCGATTCATATGTGACTTACCTGGGCGAGGAAACAGAGGAAGCCGTCCAGAGTGAAGATGATTTGGACACAAAGGTGGACAGTTCTACAACCGATGAATATGGCATGGCTTCTTTACTAGAGACTGAGATCGAAGAGAAGGATCTTGTTAACTTGGATCCAAGTTTCAGAATCAGCACCCGACCTGGAGATCCAGGTTCAATTTCTTATTTGGCGTCCAGTGATGTGCCGCCATTGTCACCACTTGATGCGGATCCATATATAGCTCCTTACGACCCTAAAACTAATTACCTCTCACCACGCCCTCAATTTCTTCGATACAAGCATAACCCTCTTGTCGAGCTCTATTTTCAGAAGGGAAGGAGTGGGGATCTTATGGATAGATTTTCTACTGAATTTCTTTCAGATGCAGAGGTAACTGAAGATGGAGTTTCTTCTGATGGGTTCCATGTAAAAACGGATGACTTGACTTCACATGTTGCTTCTGATGATGGATCATATAAAAAGGAAGAGGAGGACATAGAAGTGTTTGAAGCAGATCATACTAGTGCATCAGAGGCCGACGGTGAACATGTCCAAGTTAAGAAAACGGTTGAGCGGCATATCGTAACAAGAAGCAAGATCATTCCTATCCTTTTTATCTTGGCCACTGTCGGTCTGTACCTCTCATTTTACAGCTCGCCAGTCATGGAACCCTCAGTCCTCAACAACTTGAACTTCCCTGAGCTGTATGTACCACCTCAACTCTCAAATTTTGCCAGAGAGAGTTTTGAGCAAGTTACACAAAAAATTCAGCCACTTCTGCATCGTTATGTATCCTACTTGCACAAGCTGATCCTAGGCTTCAACCAGCGGAATAATATGGTAGGATTGGAGTATGCTAATCTGACTTCTTTGCTGGAAGACAACTTAGTTGATGAAGCAAGTGTGTTCTTCTCCAAAAGTGCCTTGGAAATGACACCCACGTGTGAAACTGGTTTGGCATGGCCCGTGACTGGTGGAGACGTAAATCTGGTGTCAATGATGAAGAGGAGTCACCTTATTGAAGCTACTGATGAAGTTGTCCAGGGGGATGTCCTTTGCCAAGAATGTGAAGACCAAGAACCGATTGAGGCGCGTGACCTTGATCTTTCTATGGATGACACTTCTAATGAAGCTGAAGATAAGAATATGGCTGAAGTACTTGTTGATAAGTCATCTCTGGAGGCTGCACTAGTTGTGGAAGGACAAGACATCTCTGAACATCTAGTACCAGAAACCCTTACTCAGGTTGAGGGTATTTCAGGTGATAGCTGCTCAGCAACATTGGGAGTACCAGAAGCCAATATGAACATGCTGGCGGGCACCTGTGAGATGCAAAGTATCATAGGACACCAAGAAAGGACTGAAGTTTCACCAGAGGTGACTCTTGATGCCAAAGAACGTGAAAGTAAAATCGATGTGACTCCTTCAACAATTCAAGATCAGCCTATTACGGAGACAAGAGAAATGGCTTCAGCACATGCTGTGGCAGGAATTGCTATGCTTGCTCTTGTCACTGGTCTCCTTGCAACCATAGCTCTGTTTTATAGAAGAACCCCAAGGGCCTTGCCTACAACTGATGCTGCATTAGCATCCCAGAAGACCACACGAATTATAGAAGAGATAGCCAGCCCAATCCCTGCTCCCATAGAGCAGAATTCTCAACCTCCGATTCTTTCAAGCAATTCGCTCACAGAAGTTGAGTGCACCGGTGACGACACGTGCACATCAGCGATGAGCACTTCTCAACCCGCTGTATCTTCTCACCGAAAAGAGCTGAACGGAACAAGTCAAGAAGCTTGTAACAATGACAGGAGAGGTCAGAGGAACTATAGCAGAAGAGAATCGTCTGCTTCATCAGGAGGCGGTTACTTAACGGAGTCAAAGTCTTATGGAAGTTTCACTACTTATGAGAAATTTCCTGCCAAGCAAGTAAGTAGAAATTTCTCTTATCTTTTTCCGATGTATCGTGTATCTATCGTGTATCTTATACATAATGTCCTGTTTTTTTCTGGTTGACATCTACAACAGAATGTGGGTGGAGAAGAACAGGCATTGATAACTCCAGTCAGGCGCTCCAGCAGACTGAGGAGCAAAGTTGGTTCCCCGGAACAAGCGACATGACGATGAACTAAGAGGAGGTCACAAGTCACTGAGAGAATGACCGCTCACTGTCCTATTCCCTTGTATTTAAGATGACAATAGAGCCAGTACTAGTGCTTTTGTAGGCCTAAGTAACATACTTTGATTGTTAGCTTCATTCTAGTGGTTTGAATTTGCTTGCACTTGTCTTAGATGTATCATCTCTACTCCATTGCTCCTTGTAAATGTAGGAGTTTCATTCTTACTAAATGGTCTGCTCACTTCCTGTTCGGCCGAGGAGTGGAAGATAACATTATTATTATTATTATTATTATTATTATTATTATTATTATTATTATTATTATTATTATTATTATTATTATTACATTAAAAGAGATTGTCTTTTACACTATTTCTCACAATCACATCATTAGAGTATTTTGTAATTTTTCACAAAAAACAAAAGAGTACTTTTGTAATTAATGAAAACTTTGAGAGTTTTATACCTTAATTTCAAATAGACTCTACATATAAATATAAATGAATCCAAGCCCATGGTACCCAATCTAATTCGACCCGAGCAAAGCGAGTTGAACCCAATATTTACGAGTTTTGGAGTCGGAACGAGTTTTACCTGCTTTTGAAATTTGTAGGTTGGATCGGGTGTTAATTTTGTTAGAAACTCGCCCCTCTTTCCAACGAACATGTTTAGAAAAAATAATCGATTCGGTCAATCCGGGTTGAATGTGATGTTGACGAGTTTTTGGGTTCGAAGCGTGTTTTACCTACTTTTGTAACTGAAATTTCTTTCTTAATTACTTGTATGCCTTAATTTCCCTTAGAATCTACATATAAATGAACCCAAGTTAATGAGTACCCAATCTAATCCGACCAGGGCAAAACGAGTTGAACCCAGTGTTGACGAGTTTTGGGTCAGGAGCGAGTTTTACCTACTTTTGTAATTGGCAGGTTGGATCGGGTTTGGATTTTATTGGAAAATCGCCTCGATTTCCATCCAACCAGCTTAAAAAATAATCGAATCGGTCAATCAGGGTTCAACATGGTGTTGTCGAATTTTTGGGTTGGAAGCGTGTTTTACGTACTTTTGTAATTGCTCGGTTTGGTTTGTATTGATTTTCTTAAAACTCTTTTCAATTTCCATGTTTTGTATTTATTAAAAACTTTGGGTAATGACAAGTTTGGTCATTGAGTAAACTAAAAACGTTCACATTTGGTCACTACAAATACTTAATTTCATTCGTGGTCACTGAAATTAGTTCAACAGTTTAAGTTTGATCACCTTCCGCCCAACTTTGTTAACTTTTTATGAAGTAGCAGTCAAACATTCATAATTGACCTGACAATTAAAAACTAATAAAAAAATAAAATTTAACCATTTAAATTTTCCACATCATATTCACAACTATTAGGAAAAAAAAACTTAATTTCTATAATTCCCTACCAAACCCAACTCCTCTATTTCTCTCCTTCCCCGCTTTCATCGTCGAACCTCCAAACTCCCACCACCCAGCCCTCCCGCGGTGATTCCTAGGTTCTCCTCCTCCGACACTCTTCTGATCCCCCTCATATTGTAACAATCGCTTTCCAAGGCCTCCAATCTTGTCTGGAATCACAGATGGTCGAGCACTCTACGTGACGAAGACATTGAGCACTCTTCTCTCCTCTTCTTCAGCAGCGGCTCCATGGTCAGATCAAGATTTGCGACGAAACCACTGAGTAGAGATTGAACAGAGACTGGATTTCTGACGTTATTGTGCGGTCACTGTTCTTATTTTCGTCGCGCTCCTTAATTCACAAAGGGATTTTCGTTATCATCCCCAATCCCCATCTCCTCCTAAATTTCTAGATCGAGAATCCTACTCGTCGTTGCACCTCCCTCGGCGAATTCCTTCCTCTTCAACTCGAGTTCTGGAGACAAACAACACCCTCGAGGTAGCTTCAGATTCGAGGAATCAGATTCGAGGAAATATATAATCGCCGTGAATCCTGAAGCAGGGTATTCATCCGACATCTCTGGCATTCTCTCTTCCAAATTAGGGATTTCGATCCTTATACAAGATGAAATCAGACTCGACCGAGGCGCATCCGCCATCAAGCTGAAGTTTCTGCAGCAATCTAGGGTTCCAGAATCGCAGTCGTCCTCTTGTCGAGGAACTGGTGTCTCGACGAGCTGCTTCACATCCTCCATCACTGGAAATCGAGAAGCCCACGAATCAATCCGATTTTCTTCGACGTCGTAGCTTCGCGACGTCTTCGCCTGCGAGGATTTGGTGGGGAGGAGATAGAGAGATGATGCTTTAACGGAGGAATCGCCGCAGGAGGGTTGGTGGTGGGAGTTTGGAGGTTCGGCAGTGAAGAAATAGAGGTTGGGTTTGGTAGACAATTACAAAAATTAAGTTTTGTTTTTATTTTCTAATAGTTGTGAAAATGTTGTGGACATTTTAAATAATTTTATTTTATTTTTTGTATTAATTTTTAGTTGTGAAAGTGTTGAATCTTGTGTTGATGAGTTTTGGTTTGGAAGCGTATTTTACCTGATTTTGTAATTGTCGGTTGAGTCGTATGTGAGATTTTTGTTGGAATCTGCCCGCTTTTCACCCAATCCGAAATAGAAAAATATTATTTTATGGACAGGTATCCAACCTAATTTTCTCTAATAAAAAAAAGTTGAATCCAGTATTGATGAGTTTTAAAGAGGAGCAAGTTCGACCCAATTTTGTAATTCGCAAGTTGGGTCGCATGTGCATTTTGTTACAAAAACTCGGCCTGCTTTCCATCTGATCTGTAAAAAAAAAAAAAAAGAACAATCGACTATGTCAAAGCAGTTTGAACTTGATGTTAACGTGTTTTGGGCCGGGAGCGAGTTTTACCGGCTTTTGTACTTGGCAGGAGTTGGGTTGGGTGTGGGAATGGATCAGGTCAGTAATTTTATGGTGAGTAACCATGAGTAACCCGTCCACATCAGCATGATATCAGCATCCTCTCTCTCCTAGAAAGCTTTTAATTTTCTCCTCCTTAATTTTGATGGACGATTTCTCACTCGTTTTAAGTCGAAATTCAATTTTTTTGCGCAGTTAGATCAGATTAATTATACTCTTCAAAATGATATCCACTTTGATATATTTTTCGAACAAAAAAATTGAGTCATTTTATACCAGTCTATACCATATGGTATTGACTGGTATTGAAATAAGAGCATACCTATGGTTTGAAAAGCGTACCATGGTGGTATGGACAAACCAAGACTGTAGGATGGTTGCATACATGATAGTAGAAGTGTATTAACTGTCATTTACGACTTTTAACATTGTATACCATAAGATACCACCCCGTAACAGGGTGGTATTGTGTTATATTGTTTGGTCTTGTAATTTGTCACCCAGAAATTTGTAGATCCAATAGATCATGATGAACTCGTCCCTTCTGTGCAAACGTTGTCAAAAACGAATTAAAAATGAAGAAAATACCATATGGTATGCAGTTGGTACCTACAGGCAAGAATTTTTTTTCTCAAAAAATATTGAAAATAGATCTCATTTTGTAGAGCACGATGAACTCGTTCCATCTGTGCAAAAAAAGATTAAAATCCGAGTTAAAACGAAGAAGAAATGAGCTGATTAAGAAAACTAGAGAAAATAAAAATAACTTTTAATTCTCCATCCTTAGATCTGAATTTTCTAAATAAATGGTCCAGATTTTGTTATTGATGGGTGCATAACCCATAGTTATGCACTCTATCTTGAGCCGTTGGGTGTGGATTGATATAGACTAAACAATTCCTATTTAAGGATTCTGATTTAGAGACTTTGGATTCTGATTTGAACGCCCAATCACCGTTACAATTCACTCTAGTTGTATGGTGGTTTTGTTAATGTATGTGAATGATGTTATGTTGTTTAGGATGACAATGAGAGAATTCAATGGCTCACAAACGGGTTCCAGTCTGCTTTTTAGTTGAAAAAACTATGTCTACTTTCTTACTTTCTTGGCATCGAAATTGAAAGGTCAACTGAGGGCATTCTTATTCGGCAAAGCAAATATGTCGATGAACACATGACCTGACATCTTATATGCCGTTCAAGTGGTTAGTGTCATATACTTAACGAACAAACTACCCGACCTCAAAACATGACCAACATTTAATTTGTAACGATTCGGTAACAAACCTTTGCACTTAAAACAAAAACGGTCATAAATTAAATAGCGGTGACCATTTTATACAATTTCAAAATTTTGTTACCGTATTGATACAAATTAAAAGTTTGTGACCATTTTGTACTAAATGCAAAAATTTATTACCATTTATGCTAATTACCCGTAATTTACAAGGCTAGTATGTGTGTCAGCATAATAGGTCACGCATTTTAATACCTAGAAAACATGATTATCATTGTTACAACCAGCATTTTGCCTCCAATACCTGTTCGAAACTATTGTGCTACCGTAGATCCGTACAAGATCTTTTCTGTCCAATACTCGCATTCTCCCACCAATTCATAGCCCATCTCAAAACACTATCGGCGGAATTCTAAGTTGTATTCATGTAATGTTTCTCACGGCCACTACTGAATTTTTGGCTTTATTAATTCCATCTTCCCGGTATTTTAACAATCTATTGCACTCTAATTTTTTTTTTAACATTTAATTTGTAACGATTCGGTAACAAACCTTTGCACTTAAAACAAAAACGGTCATAAATTAAATAGCGGTGACCATTTTATACAATTTCAAAATTTTATTACCGTATTGATACAAATTAAAAGTTTGTGACCATTTTGTACTAAATGCAAAAATTTGTTACCATTTATGCTAATTACCCGTAATTTACAAGGCTAGTATGTGTGTCAGCATAATAGGACACGCATTTTAATACCTAGAAAACATGATTATCATTGTTACAACCAGCATTTTGCCTCCAATACCTGTTCGAAACTATTGTGCTACCGTAGATCCATACAAGATCTTTTCTGTCCAATACTCGCATTCTCCCACCAATTCATAGCCCATCTCAAAACACTATCGGCGGAATTCTAAGTTGTATTCATGTAATGTTTCTCACGGCCACTACTGAATTTTTGGCTTTATTAATTCCATCTTCCCAGTATTTTAACAATCTATTGCACTCTAATTTTTTTTTTACAATATTCAAAATAATTCAATTCCTCTTTCCATTAAATTAATCACTATCATCTCAAACAATATAATACTTCTTCACTATTACTATTTAAAATATTATTTTCTTGCTAACAAGCGAAGCGGTAGCGAGCGGACTTTCTAGTAATAATATAATAATAATAATAATAATATATAATAGTAACATTTAAATTAATATTCATTAGTAGCCCTCAAATTCTTTCAAATGCACGTGGGCAAACTTTATGTGATTTGCCTCTTTCACTCACACATCATTCTCCTACACTCCAAAATTTTGGATGACACTCTTTTACCCCACTCTCGGCCCATCTAGAGCTTCTGATTTCAACTATTATCAGTCGGATCTACAATTATTGCCCTTTGTATTTGCTATCGCAATTATTGTCCACTAGGGTTTCAGCTATTGTTCAATGATTTCTCTGTTACAGCTATTATCCACTAACTTTTCATATATTGCTTGGTGATTCACCCACCAATTTGTAGCCCATTTCAAAGCATTGTTAGAGGAATCCTATGTCTATAATCTAAAACAACAACCTCTTCTTTCACTACTACTATTTAAAATATTATTTTTTCGCTAACACGCGAAGTGGTAGCGAACGGACTTTATACTAGTATTAATAATAATAATAATAGCATATAAAAGTCTCATATTTGAGTTACTATTCATTAGTCGCAATCAAGCTCTTTCATATGCAAGTCGGCAAGCTTTTTGTGATTTGCTTCCTTAGCTCACACATCATTCTCCTACACTCCAACATTTTGAAAGAAACTCTTTTACCCAACTCCCCTATATAGAACCTATGTGTTCAATAATTATCCGTTAGATCTACATTTATTGTCCTCTGTGTTTTCCATCGCAATTTTTGTACACTAGGTTTTTAGCTATCAATGGTTTCTCCGTGACAGCTATTATCCACTAAGTTTTCATCTATTTCCTATAGGGGTTGCAATGGTCCGGTGCGAGATAGGACCGCATTGGACCAAAGTTTTGAATGGACTGTACTGGATCGAGTATAATACGGTCTAGTCCTTGGTCCACAAGAATTTTACAATTACTAAAGAAATAATAGACCAAACTGATATTTGGATCGGACCGAACGCAATGATGGTAAAAAAAGAAACAGAGGAAAAAATGCGCGCGGACAAAGGTAAACAAAATGGCTACGCCAGCCCACAGCCCATCCCTTCATCCAATTCCAACTTTTTTTTTTATCCAAGATAAACCCCTCGGGCATGGCCGGACAACAGGAATACAAAATATATAATAATAAAGAACGGTAGGCCGTATGCAACCGGATTCCGGATAAAAGAGCTTGTTATGCCACTAATGGGCAGCTCCATGAAAGCTCCAAGGAGCGAAAAGACACGAAACTGATACGGGACAGGAAGAGAGAAAAAGCTTCTCTGTAAATGGCTCCGGCTCCAAAAAGAGATGTCTTCCTCGATGTAGGGTCAATGAAGACCATTTGAAAATCCCCACAACATGTGACAATCATTATATTATTAGTAAGCATTGATTATACCATAATAGGATTTAACAAAATAAATTGAAAGAGTTCCATAACCTTTTAAGTTGACGGAGCCTCTAGCCATCCCTGAGAACTCTTTAGAAAGACTAAATAGCCATTGAAGAGATAAACTCGAGACTTGCTTTCGACACAAGTTGAAGATGCGCTTGACCAAAACAATTAAACAAAAGAAAAAATAATGAAAGAAAATAAATATAAAATACTAACCTGAAATACAGAAATAAAATAAAAGAACAAATAAGCACGGATAGAGGAATAAAGAGAGCAGGAAGGTAAACGGATAATTAATCGAAACGGAGAAAGGAAACAAGAAATTAAATAAAAATAATTACTGAACGTAATAAAAAATACAAAATCAAAATGAAAAACAAAATCAAAATGAAAAAATAGTCAAAACTTAAAGACCAAATTAATAAGGGGAAAGTCTAACTAATGCCGCAAAAGGGTCCAATTAATCAAAAGAGCAATTAAAATACAAAAAAAAAAAGAGAAACCGCCTAGCTAATAATAGGAAAGTGAAAGGAAGAAAAAAAAGTAATAAAAACCAAGATAATTGCAGATTTAATTAACGGAATTAAAAACACCAGCGCAATCAATGGGCTAGGTCCCCCACCGACGGCCACCACGCCTCGTCGGCGTCATATGAAGCAGAGTACCGGCTGCAAAGAAACCAAAGGCGATCCAAGGTGATAGACACACCAATGACGCCATCATATTCCAGCCTTCAACAGAGGGATCTCAACTTTTAATCAAAGAATCATCATGTGATGTATACACTTGGCCATGGAGACCATGTTGAACAAGACGACAGGTGTCGTATTAAGGAAACAGAGTAAAAGAGCTCTGTATTTGGAACACTGTCCCTACTCCCTACTATACATGATGATTGGTTAAGAAATTAAATCGACTTTCATTTGATTTTTTTTTCTTTTATACCGTGGAAGCCCTGGTGAGAAGCTTGGCAGAGTAGAACCGATCAACGCTGCGAAACGCCATGGAGGAAGCCGCCAGAGCGGCGGCGATCTCGCCGGAGACTTCTGATCCGGGGAAGTCCTTGCTGACGGCGTACGGAGTTCTCAGAGTGTCCATATCTTCGGGCCTCTCCCAGTAGTAATGATCGGAGTAAGGGTCGCCGACTTGCGGGAAGACGAAACCAGGGACGCTTGCGGAGTTCTCAGAGTGTCCATATCCATCCCCCAACGAAGAGCTTCGAGGGCGTGTTGCTTCTCGGTAGGGCTGGATTTTCGGTTAGATCGGTTATAACCGATAACTGAAATGTCGGTTACCGGTTAACCGCGACGCCGGCAGTGTCTACCGCCAACCGCCCGACGGAAACCATCGGTTAGCCGGCAACCGACCGGTCGGTTACCGGTAAGTTGCTCGGTTAACCGTGGTAACCGCAACTTCCTTCCGCCCTTCTTCTTCTCTGCAAGACAATCCAAAAGCAGAGGAGCTTCCTCTGAAAAACTCCGCTCCCTCACCCCACACAAAAAATTCCGCCAAACGCGGCCTTACCCACTTCTCCTCTCCCGCCATAGATTCCACCTCCTACTTCTTCCTCTTCTCCTCTTCAAAAAAGCTTCCATCTTTCTCTCTTTCTCTACGGAGACCCAACAAATTAATGTTGCTACTGCTGCTCTGAAATTCTTGTGAGAACCGAGATAAAAATGGCTTTCCAAGACCACATGTCGCAAGAAATGGGCTTCCAGCCGCCGCTCTCCGCGGCCTCCGCAGGGCCTTCGTGGCTGAACAGCGCCGTCCTCCGCCGCGGCGACGGCAGCGACAGGAGCGAGAACGACAACAACAACAACAACCACCACAACCACGGCGGCGGAGGTGGGGAAGATGAGCTTCTGGACGGCGGCGGGGGAGTGGGGGATTGGGAGAGGGCGAAATGCAAGGTAACCGAGTGGCGCTGTGGCGCGGAGAAGACAGAAGGCCGATGGCGGCGGCGGGGGCCACGGCGGAGGTTGCTGCGGGGAAGGGTTTGCGGCGGCGGACTCTCGCTGGCGGCGAGGACTGGTGTGGGCGTCGATGCAGAGAAGGGAAGGGAAGGAAGAAGTTTGATTCTGCAAATTGGAGAAGGAAGACGAAGTCGAAGTCGAATTAGGGTTTTGGTGAAACGCTGAAGAGTGGGCAGCTGGGCGGCGTTTTGTGGGGGAGGGGGGGGGGGTTTGGCCGTGTCGGTTAGCCGGTTAACCGGCGGTTAGATCCGTCGGTTAGCCGGTTAACCGCCACCTCCAATATCCCTACCGAGCACCGCCCGCATACATTTTTTTCGGTTAGTCGGTTAACCGGTAACCGGCGGTTATCGGTTTAACCGGCCAGTTAACCGGTAACCGCTAACCGAACGGCCAGCCCTACTTCTCGGATCCTATCATCCCGCCAAATTCCACCACGCTCCAAGCCAGCATTGTGGTCGTGAACGCCATCGGGAAGTTGAATTTCACGTTGTCCCCTGCATCGTAGTATACTCCGGTCAGATCAACGCCAATCTCGTAGCCATCTCGGATACCCGACTTTGCTACTGATTGATGCGATATGCTCATTATGTTCTTTATTTGGTGTTTTCCTAAGATTGTATGTAATATATGCACCAAAAAATAAGGGAAAAACTATTGAAGGGTATCACACCAAGACCTGTGAAATTATGTGCTACTGTCATACTTTAATGGTTGTTGCAGATTTAGTATCTTGCCTTGGTTTTTCAATGAGTAGTTGGGGTGGATTTAGTAGTGCATTGATGTTGTAATCGGTCATCTGTTCTGTAACTATGTTTTGATGGTTTTGCAGGGTAAAATGGATGATGGGGAGGAGACTTAGTCAAGCCTATTATTAACATCAGGATGGTAATTCCAGAAGTCACTAGCTTCTCTGGTATCTCTTGGTCTCTAAGCTTAGTGTGTTGTTCACTATTGTCCTTATGGAACAATTAACAATTAACAGCTAATGGATTCTGTTTCATCAGGGTTATACATTAGCTAGGTTCTTGGTCTGTACAATTAATTACTTTACTGCTGGTCTTCCGGGTAGGGCTTAGCCCTACATTTTCATTATGTTCCTCAAATATTGCCTGCCTTCTTTTGATCTCTCCTTGCACTTTTCAATCACGTGAGCACTAACTGAGCCTTGCTTACACTTTCCTATCTATGCAAAATTATGATTTGTGTGTAACTTAGAATTTCCCAATATAGAGTTTTCTGTGTGTTTATGACAGCAACAGCTTACTGCCATTATGCGTTATGACCACTACAGGTTTATGTGTGTTTTAGCAGAAGCAGCCTCAACTTACTGCCTGTATGCTTTATGACCACTGCAGGTTCCATCTGTCAGTGTTATTATGCAAGCCATCTTGCATTTGTGCCCCTTTATGTAAAGGGACTCGTTCGTAAATATATATATATATATATATGGTGATGACTGGTGTACGTCAGGCGTATAGTATACGTCAGGTGATTTAGCCGTTAGATGTTGTTAGATGAGCTCCAGCCGATCTCAACGGTCATTTTTTTTGTTTTTCATTAAATCAAACTTCAGGTTAGAGTTTAGAAACTCGGTGCCTGTGGTTTATCCATTAGAGGTTAGGGTATAGTATCATACCCCAAACTCGATTTAATTCATGGTCTAGATAGAGATATCTCACTAGTAGTACCTGACGTATAGTATACGTCTGACGTATGCCAGTCTAACCCATATATATATATATATGGAAACGACTCGTATGCGTCAGACACATACTATGCGACAGGATTCTCTACCGTAGATCTAATCTAACGGTCATTATAAATTATATTAAAATTACTAATAATAATTACTAATTGCACCCCTTAAATAATTATATGTGCTATATAGCCCCCCAATAATAATTTGCGTTTTATTTTCTCACATGATACCTATTCGTTTTTGTGAGGACTCAGATGATACCTTATTTCTTCTAGATCTTTTAATGAACACCCAAAAATTATACAATTGATAAAATAAAGTTCCATTAAAAGGTTGCCCCAATTCGACAATCCTAAACCACCATCATCGTCATAACGATTTTTCCAGATACCCCAATTGCAAACCACTAATTTTACCATCAGTCCATCATCATCATCGTCCCTGCTTCTGATCTACATCGACTTTGGCTCATCATCATCTGTTTTTAAGGTCGCAGATGACAGCTACCCTTTCGCGACGAATCCGAAACAATTGACGGTGAAAGACTATGACCTTTACGTCCTGTAAACAATGACTAAGGCTGAAATGGAGAGAGGGGATTGGGTCTCGTCAAGGGAATTCTCTTGGTCGGAGTCCAGAATCGTAACGGAGTGAGAAAGTTTGGACGATGAAGAGAGACGGCCGTCGGATTACGGTGGTGACGGCGGCAACTTGATAATTGGGAATTTGGGGGGCTAGGGAAGACGATGATACACGAAAGGGAATTCCCTTGGTCGGAGTCCAGAATAGTGAGAAAGTTTGGACGATGAAGAGAGACGGCCGTCGGATTACGGTGGTGACGGCGGCAACTGGATAATTGGTAATTTGGGGGGCTAGGGAAGACGACGATACATGAAAAAACGGCATCGTTTTGTGCTCGTCTCTGAATCGAAAGTGGCCTGGAGAACGGCGTCGTTCTATAGGTGTAGCTGAAAAAAATTATAATGGTATGAGGGTCGAACCAGCGTCCTGGTGGTTACCAAGGGCATTCTTCACCATTCATACTGTACAAAAAATTTGATTCAATATACAAACACTTTTTTATTTATAATTATAGAATGAGTTCTTGTAAAATTAAAACACAAAACTAACCTAAGCAGGCCTTTTGTACCAGGCCCAATAGGGCTTAGTCCAGCATATCGGCGGCTGCCCCTGCCCTCCCTTTGTCTCTTTAACAATAATCAATTGTAAAAAGTAAAATAAAACAGAGAACAATAATGGCAAAGTTGAAAATAGGAAGACTACTTACCTACCAAATCTAGCAAACGATTTATCTTCTGCTTTTTCTCCCCTCCCCATGCGCTGCCTTTTCGGTTTTCCTTCAAACTGATTAGACACATACTCAACCGCTCTCATCCTCCCTCCGCCTCCGTTGCATGTCTCCGCCTCCGCCTGTCAAGCAACCGCTGTTCGCTCAGTAGCGGTCTCCTCCTCCGGGCCACCATCGTCGCCTGCCACCTCCGCCGCTGATTCGCTGTAGCGGTTGTGGGAAGAAGAGCGGAGGAAAGTCGCCCGGACTAACCACGTCGGTTGTGGGAAGAAGAGCGGGCCACCATCGTCGCTTGCCACCTCCGCCGCTGACTCGTTCCCGATCTGCTCAACTAACCACGCGGTGTCGCCGGCCACGTTTCCACCGCCGCAGGTACTTTTCTTTAATTGATTGTTAACTATTTGGTACGTTCTATTAGAATAGTTGATCATAATGTGTTCTTATACTCCTATTGAACATCCACAATACGTGCAAGAACAGAAATTGAGTAGGGTTTCCGTGCTGTAATTTTCTGACAATGGATGATATATCGCAATGGTACCCGTAAGTATTGTTTACCAACTAATCGTTACGACAGTCTACTCCGCTTCCTTTTCCTATTGTCAGCCATTACTAACGTCTAACGGTTTTTTTATAGCGACTTTCTGGTTGAGCCTGGTTTCGTTGCAAAGCTGCAGTATGAGGAAGCAGTACATATGTCTATTTTGTCGGATTCAATCGATCTTACATTGTTGCAAGAGAATGGTGACGATGAGGTTATTGAAAATTTGAAATTAACTTTTTTGTCATTCATCCTTTCGATCTCGTTTGCAATTATTGTGTTTGTTAATGCTTGTTAATTTTTTTTGAAATTCCTTTTCTTGTTTTAAACACCAGGGCACTGCTTACCTCATCTCCGGACGTGTCGGCGAGGTGAAGACATCCTGCTGTGCTGAATGTAGAGTTCATTTGATCCACCTAACTATCGAGGATGATTATTTGGATATTGAGGTTGTTTTCCCATCGACAAACTTGCGCAAAATCGTTTCAGATGTAGTAAGTGATAAAGATATGGCCAATGCCGATTTCGTTACCCTTATCAACTTGATTGGTGGAAACTCCTATGAGTTTATGGTCACATTGGGTCCTTGGAACAATGTGTCGAGTTATTTTGAGCTGTTATTGGTAAAATTATTTTTTCCTCCCGGAAACTGAATACCATTTCAGCAATGTCAATAGAATCTACTAAAGTTGCTTAGTGTCCGCCTTAATGTTATTTCTCTTGTTATGCAAGTGTACTAAGTGTGTGAACACAATGCTTTTTTGTACGGGTTCTGCCCTTCTTAATGAATTGTTCCTTGTATCTTTCTATACTTATCGAAACATTTCTCTATTACTTATAAATGGGATCAGTTGCCTAATGAAAAGTTATGAAACAAAATTCATGTTAATTTGGTTCAAATTACTGTATCATCAACATACCACACCCCAATTCGACTACCCAAAAGGCCACTATCTGTTCACGGTTCACCCAAGCTACCCCATAGCTAACCATTTATCTCACCAACAGCCATCAAAACCCAAAAACCATCAAAACCATGGTTATCTCCAATTACTGCCCAGGGAAGACGATGAGACATGACAAACGTCGTCGTTTGTGCTTGCTGCTAAAGCGAGAGTGTCTCAAGGACGACGTCGTTCCACAAGCGTAGCTGAAACATGATTACATGGATGTGGGTAAAAGAAATAAGAGAATATGGAGAATCGAACAGGCAACCTTGTGATGATAATAGCAAATCTTAACCATCAATGTTGTACAGGTATTTTGATAGTTTAAATGTACACGTTTTATATACAGATTTTGTAACAATTAAACATAATAACAAAAATAATTAAGGAAGTAAAGCAAAATAAATGAAGACGACGACAATTCTCTTCAATAGAAGCCAATGGCTTTACCGTGACTATATTATATGAAAAAGCTATCTACATGTGCATACCATGCATTTGGACAATAAACCTTCCATGCTACTTGTAGACACCAGTTTTTGTCAGGGTTAAAATATTTTTAATAAAATGTTAATTAGTTTCAATTTAAGGTTTGCAATAGAAAATCTTTAATGGCCTTCTAACTAAAACGTATTTGTAGTGTTTGGGAAATGTATTGGTTATCATAAC